CTTAGAAGGAACTTTTAGAAACTGATGATATTTTGGCAGAAGCTCTCTTGGAGTTCTCCCTTAAACTCTGTATCTCTTGGATGCTTCCTTGAGTGGTGAGTCTTTTATTTTCAGTTATGTATCCTTGTTTAATTCCCTTTGGGTGGTGAACTTTCTGTATCCCTTTGTGATTTTAAACTTGGTGGTGAGCCGTTTTTCTATCTTATTGAAGTATTATTATGAGTTCATACATTTTCTATCCGAAAAACTGTACCATCGATTTTCTTTCGATATCTATTCTACTTTACCCCCACATTCTGCATCACCCCGGTATTAGTTTGGTATCAGAGCTAAAGGCTAGAGATCATGGAAAAGATATAGTCAGTGAAGGTAGCGACTATGAAGATGATGCTGAGTCATTGAGGCTGCAGCTACGTAGATTGCTGCGTAGTCTACAAGAAAAAAATAAAATAATTGAAAAACTTCGAAGTAGAAACAACCAGCATAAAAATGATTCCATGAGTTTACTTCTGATGATGATACACCCCTTCTTCTAAGGGAGTCGAGAAGATGTCGGATAACAAATTGAGTCCAAAAAGAGTGGCAGAATAAATATAACCCAAGATTGGAGATTCCAGAGTTTGAGGGTAAAATAAATGTTGATGACTTTATCGATTGGATTAATACAGTATAAAGAATTTTCGATTTTCATTAACCACCAGAACAAAAGAAGGTCAAACTTGTGGCACTCAAACTTAGACGGAATGCTTCTTTTTGGTGGAAAAATCTGAAAAAACAAAGAGAACGTGAGGGGAAGAGTAAAATCGTAACATAGGAAAAAAAATGAAAAGGGAGCTGAAGAGAAAATATTTACCTCACAATTATAGGCAAGAGATCTTTCTCAAAATCCATGATTTCAAGTAAAAAGATTTTAGTGTGGAGGAGTACACTACAGAATTCGATAATCTGATGTTAAAAGGAGAGCTTGTGGAACCGGAAGAGCAAATCATTATAAGATACTTAGGAGGTTCGAAATATGAGATTACTAAAGTGGTTCAACTACAGTCATATTGGTCTTTAAATGATGTGAGCAAGCTGGCATTCAATGTTGAAAAACAACAGAAGTTTAAAAAGAGTTATCGGTATGGTTCAAAAGAAGGATATACAAAAGGAGGAAGTTTCAAACCTACTGTCCAAAGCAAGGTGATATCGAAGGTGCAAGAAAAAGGGGAAGAATCTGCTGGCAGTAAAAAATCACCTAATTCTTCTATCCCAAATGGTCGAAAATGCTTCAAATGTCATGGTTTTGGACATATTGCTTCAGATTGTCCAAATAGGAGGATTGCAACTTTGGTTGAAGATCATAGTGATGGAGGAGTAGATGAAGACAAACCAAAATATGATGAAGATAAGGAAGATGTTACTTATGCATATCATGGTTTGTCTATTGTATTGCAGCGTAGCTTACAAGTGTCTTATGTGGCCGAGGATGAAAGTTAAGTGAGAAAAAACGTGTTTCACACTAAATGCACGTCTCTTGGCAAGGTGTGCTTGGTGATCATCGACAGCGGTAGCTTTGAGAACGTGGTATTTTTGGAGATAGTGCAGAAGCTAAAGTTAGACACAATCCCTCATCCACATCCATACCAATTATATTGGTTGCAAAAAGGAATGACATCAAGGTAACTAAAAGATGTTTAGTTTCATTTTCTATTGGCAAGTATTATAAAGACGAAGTATGGTGTGATGTTGCTCCTATGGACGCTTGTCATTTACTGTTGGGAAGACCTTGGTATTATGATAGAAGGGTGTTGTATGATGGCTACAAACATACTTATTCTTTTAAGGTGAATGAAAAGAAGATTATCTTAGCTCCATTATAACCTTCTGAAATCAGTGCACCAAAGAAGGAAGCTAGTGCTTTTATGTCTTATAGTGAATGCAAAGGTAAATTAGACAAGGGTGGTCATATTTTAGTCCTAATGGTAGTAAAGGAGAACGAACAACATAAGGAGACACCGACAATCATGAAACCAATCCTAGAGGAATTTTAAGATATTATATCGGAAAAGATTCCACATGGCCTTCCACCTTTGAGAGACATCCAGCATCACATTGATATTATTCTGGGGGCTATTCTATCTAATAAGACAACATACAGAATGAGTCCCAAGGAGCATGAAGAACTTCAAAGGTAAGTTGATAAATTGGTGAAAAAGGGGTTAATTCGGGAGAGCATGAGTACTTATGCGGTTCCAGCCTTGTTAGTGCCTAAAAAGAATGGTTCTTGGAGAATGTGTGTGGACAACCGCACTATCAACAAAATCACAGTGGATTATCGTTTTTCAATTCCAAGATTAGATGATTTACTTGATCAATTATGTGGTGCTTCTATTTCTCTAAAATTTATTTGAGGAGTGACTATCACCAAATAAAAATGAGGCTTGGAGATGAGTGGAAAACATCATTTAAAACTAGAGCAGGCTTATATGAATGGTTAGTTATGTCATTTGGGCTATTTAATGCTCCTAGTACCTTCATGAGATTTATGAATCATATACTTAAGCCATACATTGGAATATTTGTTGTAGTTTACTTTGACGATATATTGGTGTACAACAAGAGCGAAGAAGAGCATATGAATCATCTGAAAGAGATCTTTCTTATTTTGAGGCAGCAAAAGCTTTATGCTAATCTAAAGAAGTGTGATTTCTTTACTTCTAGTATTGTGTTTTTGGGGTATGTTGTTTCAAAAGATGGAATCATGATGGATCAAAGTAAGGTAGAAGCTATTCTCAATTGGCCAACACCTGCTTGATTGCATGATGTGAGGAGTTTCCATGGCTTAACTTCTTTTTACAGAAGATTCATTAAGGGTTTCAGCTCTATTGTCGCTTCGATCACCAAATATTTGAAATGTGATAAATTTAAATGGACGAGTGTAGCTAATGATGCTTTTGAGCTTTTAAAAAGAAAGGTAACCGAAGCTCCTATCTTAGTTATACCAAATTTTAACAATGTGTTTGAGGTTGAATGTGATGCATCTAATGTGGGTACTGTTTTGAGCCAAGACGGAAAGCCCATTGTATTTTTTAGTAAAAAGCTGAATGATACGAGAAATAAATATTCTACCTATGACAAGGAGTTTTATGCCTTTTTTCGAGCTTTATCTCATTAGAGTCAATATCTTCTTGCTAGTCCATTTGTCCTATATTCTGATCATGAGGCATTAAAGTTCATTAATCACCAGCACAAGCTAAACAAGAGGCATACAGCTTGGGTGGAGTTTTTGCAATCTTATAACTTTACAATCAAGCACAAATCTGGTGTTCAAAATGTAGTTGCTAACGCATTGAGCATAAAGCATTCTTTATTATCAGCAATGAAAGTTAAAGTAGTTGGATTTGAAATATTCAAATATCTCTATGAGAATGATGTGGATTTCGGCTCAATATGACATAATTTCAAATCAGGTTCCTTTCAACAATTTTCTATCTTTAATGGTTTTCTTTTTCGAGCTAATGCTTTATGTGTTCCATCTTGTTCTTTGAGACAAGTAATTCTAGCTAAAGCTCACGGTGGTGTTTTGGGTGGATATTTCGGTAGAGACAAGACTCTAGCTCTTGTTCAATCAAACTTCTATTGGCCGAAGATGTTTAGAGATGTGGAGAGACATGTAATGCAATGTCGAGTGTGTCATTTTGCAAAAACAAGAAGTCAAAATTCTGGATTGTACACTCCATTGCCTGTGCCAAATGCTCCATGGGAGGATGTGAGTCTTGATTTCATTTTGGGACTACCAAGAACTCAAAGGAACAAGGATTCTATCATGGTTGTTGTTGATAGATTTTCAAAAATGTCTCACTTTGTTCCCTGCAATAAATCGAATGATACATCTTATATTGCTGATTTGTATTTTAAAGAGATGGTTAAATTGCATGGTATTCCAAGAACTATGGTGTCTGATCGAGATTCAAAATTTCTTAGTCATTTTTGGAGAACTCTTTGGAGGAAGCTAGGTACTTCTTTGAATTTCAGCAGCTCGCATCATCCACAAACCGATGGGCAAACTGAGGTAACGAACAGAAGCTTAGGAAATTTTCTTGGAAGCTATGTTGGCAAGAATGTTAAGCAGTGGGATCTCATTCTTCCACAAATTGAGTTTGCCTACAATCGTTTTATGCACCATAGTATTAGTAAGAGTCCTTTTGAGGTTATTTATGGTGCTAATCCTGTTGGTCCTTTGGACTTCATCCCTCATTCGATAACTAAGCAATTTAGTGGAGATGCTGATAAGAGAATAAAGCAGATAAAGAAGCTACATGAGGGTGTTAAAGCAAATATAGAAAAACAAAATGAGAGGTACATGGAAGTTGCCAACAAACACAGAAAACATATAGAGTTTAATGTTGGTGATTTGGTTTGTATTCATCTAAGGAAGGAGAGGTTTCCACCGGGCAAATTTGGAAAATTGAAACCAAAGGCTGATGATCCATTCAAAGTGCTCAAGAGAATTGGAAAAAACGCTTATAAGATCGAGCTACCTGAAGATTACGGAGTGTCCCCAACAATCAGGTTGACGAAACAAACAAGGACTTTAGGACAAGTCTATTTCAACCAGGAGAGATTGACATGGGAGTGTTTAATTTGCTACAATTTGCTCATATGGACCTTGTTGATGATATGATATTTTTTTCAGCCAACAATATTGTCTTATAATCTTTAATCAGCCCACTCAAATATGACAGCTCATCAGCATATTCCCTGCACAAAGTTAAAGTTGTTTCAATGTGCTTTTCTTCATGACCAAGGAATGTATTAAAGGAGTTGGTTAGCAGTTGTAAAATATTTAATTTCAAAATTTCCTATGCATGAAGGGTTGTTTCATGCACTAGTACTTATTTTGGTGTTTAGAACTTTGAAATGACTTTTAGAAACTAATGATATTTTGACAGAAGCTCTCTTAGAGTTCTCCCTTAAACTCTGTATCTTTTTTATGCTTCCTTGAGTGATGAGTCTTTTATTTTTTGTTCTATATCCTTGTTTAATTTCCTTTGGGTGGTGAACTTTCTGTATCCCTTTGTGATTTTAAACTTGGTGATGAGCTGTTTTTCTATCTTATTAAAGTATTATCATGAGTTTATACATTTTCTATCTGAAAAACTGTACAATCGATTTTCTTTCGATATCTATTCTACTTTACTCCCCCATTCTGCATCACCCCCCCATTCTGCATCACCCCGATATCACTGACCCATTGTAGCACCATTTGCTGAGATTTGGACTTGTGAGGCTTTGTTCTTTTGCTAGGGAAGAGGGAGAATCTATGAATTTATACTTATTTTCTCATAAATTGTTGAGGACTATGCTGTTACTGTTTAACATTTTTTTATTAGTTTATTCTGCTAAAGTATGTTTTGCCGAAGCAAATCATTTCAGCATGGTAATAAATGCATAGGAATCATATCATTTAATTGTCAGAGCTCTTTTCTGTACTTCATGCTATAATAAAGACATCTATCATGTTCCTGAAGATATTGTACTGTTAACTGATTGGTTCCTTTCTTGTTATCAAGAGTGTAATTCTTGGTTTATGTCAGTGATTGAAGAGGTGTCTATGTCTGTTTACTTAGGATTTGGAGATATTGAATTTGGTTCTACCTCTTGGAGGACTAATGTTCATATAGTTTAATCGGTGCCTTAACCATTTAATTGCACTCGTCCACAGTGCTGGCTGAAAAAACAGGAGGATGTCCTGCTTCCTGCTCTGCATGATTTGGGGGAAAAAGTGATATGGACTTCTGGTCTTATTTATGGAATAGGAGAGGTAAGTTGGTGTTTGGTGTTTTCTTGCCAGTCAGTAGCTATATGTAGAATTCTTTGTTAAGTTTTAATCTTATTGAAATACATTTACTATTATGTACTATTAGCATCACATTTCATATTACTGGATAAGAAATAACTAAATTGGTTACCAGATTAGAAAGTTTCTACATCTTGTGAAACATTTAGCTTCTTATTTTTTTAACCTTGTTTGCAGTGATGTTACTTGGTGAACATAAATCAACTGGATCAAATATTAATTTTGTTTGCTAGGCCTATCCTTCTTTCTAGATTCTCTTTTGAATTACAGTCCTGCTGTTAAGGTTTTTGGAATAATATTAATATCAATATATACTCATAGTTTGCTTGCTAAAGGAGTAGTTCATAAAACAGTTCTTCTCTGTCAGCCTTTTGTGTAGGCAAATCCAAATCTCCTTTTGATCTGCATTGATTCTCATGTAGTTGATCTCAAGCCATGCTCTTTTGGATGCCAGCATCATTCCTTTAAATCCATAAATAATTATTAATTTTTTTAATATTAGGTATGATGGCACTTGTTTCTTCTTATATATCTATGTATGGCTGTTCTTAGTTACAACCTTTTCTTCCAACTCTTTATGGGCAAAAAGAAATATGTGAAAGAAGTACCCGAATATTTTAGTACAGACCCTTAGAGCAAGTAAAAGTATATAACAGAGACTGCTAGAAAACATTCAAAGGTGCATCAATATTATTCATTACTAATGAGGTTTGTTGGTTAAATTGTTGATATTCTTAAGTGTTTATCCTAGAACTTCACTTGTAAATTCCGGAAATTATTTCTGCTGAAGTTTGTTTGATGGCCTTTATTGACTTTTTTTAATCATCATGACATTGAAATAAACTTGTAAACTTTTGAATATCATCTTTACCAGATAACAAAGATTAGAAACATGTTTTGACAAAAGAATGGTCTATATTTTGTCTCTTTTCAGCAAAAAATTGCTTATCTATTTTTTTTCTTTTCTTGTACAGGGCATTGTTGGTTTGGAAACAGATTATGGAACTCTTCATATTAAAGTAAGTGATAATGTTTGTATCAAATTTGCAATGTCAAGATGTGAATGCAAGTTGTTCTACTCAGAGACTGTTTCCTTCCTCTTTTTACAGGCAAAAAAATTATATATAATTCTCATTAGTAGGGTCCTTAAATGCTGCTTCTTGTTTCTGATTGGCCACTAGTGTTTATCCATCTAGCATTTCAATCTTGACTACATTATTTGGCTACACTTTCTCCATGATGTTTTTAAATCTATTTCAGATGCTTCCATTCCTAACTTTGTTATGTGGAAACATAGCTATCATGTATTATGCTCTTCTTTCTTGTTCTGCATAAAAAAAATGAAATGAGATATGATTGGTATATTTTCATGATCAAATGTGAGATTACCATCTTTGTTAACAGGCATTTGTTCAACGATAGAATTAATTAAAGAAAATAGATCAGTTGTTGAAGCAGATTTTTCCATGGGATATAAAGCTATGAAAAGTATGAATTGGTTGATGGAAGTCAGATAAAGAAGTATCATGTACTGATTTATAGGGTAAAGTTATGTTCGCAATATAACAGTATATTGAAAATCTTCGAAGAAACTATATCAATTTATGACTTTAGTTGCTGGATCTTTGCATAAGAATGTTGAGATGGATGTGTAAAGTTACTGGGAAAGATAGGAAAATAAATAGTATTATTTATGAATAACTAAGTATCATTTCGATAGAGGATGAGATAAAAGAAAATCATTTAAGATGGTGTAGACATGTGCTTAGAATACCTCTGGATGCGATATTCCGAAAAAGTGAAATAATTAATGTTAATGGTACTAAGAGAGGTAGAGGAAGACATAAAGAGATCTTAAGTATTCTGAACTTAATTAAACATATGACTTTTTATATATCTCAATTGCGGTAAAAGATCGATGTCGCCAACCCCAAATAACTAAGACTTGGCTTTATTGTTGTTATTATAGTTGCTGGATCTTTGCATAAGGTGATTAACCACACTATAAAGTGACCCACTTGGGTTTCTCATTTGTAGTTCAATGATTAGATCAGGACTTTCTTGTTTAATTTCTATAAAGATTTCTTTAGAAGGCTTCCATTGGGGAAACATGAAGTTTCAGCTATGTAGTCCATCTGCAACATTTTTATTTGAAGTTTGAACTCCTTCTGAACCTTTAAAGACCAGATGTCAAGCCATATTGCATTGCATGTTATTATTGGATGGCATAGTGTTCATGTAACAATTCTTAGGTTGTGAGGGTCATGGTAGAGTTAATTTCTTCTTTGAATGAAACTTAATTTGAAAATATCAGCTATTTTTGAGGTACACTATCATCCCTCTATGAGTCCAGATCGGTGACTACGGACTATGTATGAGCTTGTTTTCTGGATGTTTTACTGTATCGCTCACAAAGGTAAACTACTCAATGGTTTTCTTATTTAGGATGATTTACGAACTTCCTACTGGTTGTCTTTGTCATAAGTGGTTGTCAATTTTTTTTCCTTTTATTGTGCCTTCATTATCCGTCAACCATGAATTAT